TTTACTGTCACTGGAGCCCACTTTCATAAGTTGAGAGCTGCTTGGAGTTAACCTCCTGCCTGAAATAAAAATACACAGTGGGATATACATTAAAAACCTTATCCATTTGTGTGAAATACATGAGGAAGTACTTGAAAAACAATTTTGCAAGCCCCAAATCGAAGTCAAACTCATGACCTTCCAGACACTGGGTGGACACTACTACTAGTCTATGGGAGACTCATGGTGAGCAAGGTTGTAAAAGTTAATCACCATGCCCCACAGCAAAGAATAAAAGTATATGACATCAACTCTTACGTGAATGCCTTGACTGATGGTTGGGTGCACATGGTGTTCTGCGCAGAGTTTTCTCCAGAGGTATATTACTGATGTTCCTGAGAGCAAGAGTAGTGCCACGTGGCACCCCAGAAGGGGTCATCCAGGTTGTGGGACCTGCTAATTTCACATATATGAGTATAAACAAAGGTATAGACAGCAATACATGGGCTGGGTTGTTTGAAAGCCGGTTAATGCTAACCCAGGATTAAAAGTTAAACAAATTAGTGTTAATGTTTCCTGTGTAAAAATGGTTTTCACTGCTTACATTTTGTGTAGTTTGAGATTGTTCCAAATATTCAACACTGAAGGACAAACAATGTAAACAGAAAGCCTGACCCAAAAGTTTCAAAACTGAAATCAAAGTGCTTACTAATCCTGGGTTAGCTTAAGCAGGCTTTGAAGAATCCAGCCCTGGGATATTGTTTAGTGTGGGGATTCTTTAGCCTGTGAAGTGGCGTACATCTCAATAGGCCACATTTGATATATCAATATTCTAACATGGCTCTGAGGCTTTCAGGACAAACTTCTATATTTGGCGTAGTTTTCTTTGTATCCAAGTCTCTTTTGGGAACTGAGAGACAAAAGAATTTACAATTTTGACCTGAAAGCCATGGAGCCATGTTAGAACATTAATACATGGAATGTGGCCTATTGCCTCTGGTTTTGCTTACTTCCCGTGCTGTTAAAAGGAGAGAACTGCTAAGCCTGCTCAAGATTTTTGTTCAGACATGGCTTTTAAATTGGTGACTCACTGGACTGTACCTTTCTTGTCTGTACCTTGCTTTGAGCTTGTTTCTTTGGAAGATGGCATCCACTCTTCAGGTGTATCTGGTGTAAGGAAGTGGTGCTTCTTGGCAATCTGTACTGGACGATTCTTTGAGTAAGTTGTAATGGCATTCTTTCTTGTTGTTCCAAACAGTGTACCATCTTTACTTTCTGAAGCTTTATATGTAACTGCTTTATGAGTCTTGAAGCTCATTGTGAGTAGCTTGTGTGGTGTGCAAAAGTTTTTAAGCTGTGTATTATATATTTTATCACCTGGAGATAAAAGGAAGATATTGGCTATTATTTCAGATTGCTGTAAAACACCAGTTAGAGGGCACCAGGGTCTCAAAAGCCAAACCTTTTAAGAGAAAGTATGAAGCTAACCTGGAATTTCTGGAGGTTAGGGGGTTCAAACAAGAATAATCTTTTGTTGGGGAGGGAGTAAGAGAAATGTTTACATTTTATAAGAACACAATGTATCCTCCAACAGTAAAACCTGACATTTTGAGAATTGCACGGCCAAATGTTAAACATACGCCTCTGGTGATTGGTGATTTTAATGTCAAAAGTAGAAAGACCTAGCAAAGGTATTTTGAAGAAAGGAAACCAAGATGGTAGAATTCTGCTCAGTGTGACTCACTTACTGCTTCATTAACTCTGCAGTAACCATAATTCCCCTGAGCGTTAGCGGGGCATTTACCAGAGGTCAGGCATGTTTCCTCATGTTTGAATGAGCCCGTATTTGCTAACTATCGAACTATGACATAAGCTTAAATCTTGTATATTTCCTTCACCTTAACTCATTGCCCCTGGAAAAAGACCGCACATCTTTTAACTAGTTCATCGATCATATCCTAGAACAATTTTACCTGCTTTGATGGGACCCTCTACGACCGAACACCACTTATAAAATTAAAATCAGGATCACTCTCAACAGTCATAATCCGCCATCTGAGTTTGAGCTGACCGCGAAATCCCGAATGTTTCCGAGAATTATTACGATCACAACTAATATAGCAATTGGTTAACATTTTCCGATCTTATTCTCGGTCGCGTTCGGTCTTTACCGACCACAAAGGGCGGGAAAATAGAGCGGGCAACCAAATTTCCCGCAAAGCGCAGAGTCCAAGGAATCTAGTTGTTATTGTGTCGTTGCTGCGAAGTTTTGGGGCAAATCTCACGAATTTTAATTTAACTCGGTCTTTAGCTGTTAGTGCTTTAAATAGGTAACCTTTGTTCCGATTGCTCTACGTTTTAATCTACATTTTCTGGTGTTTGAACAAACCATATCCAGTGTTCTCACTTACTGAAAGCTGAGCCTTCTTTCCTGTCTAGAAGTTAAATTGTGATTTTTTAAATGGAAAGGTTTCCCTAAGGCTTACAATTTTTTCCAGTAAAATGTCTTTAGCTTTCTAAGCCCTTCTAGCACAGTCACAAGTCATGATCTCACATACGGGCCCCAAAAATTTATTTACTCTGAGCTTACTTAAGCTTAAGCTTAATTTTAATACAAAGCTATTTAATGTTATGTGCTTTCTTCTGCTCCAACAGATAAGCAGCTTGTGTACAAGCTGAGATGACCGCACCAATAGGCTTTACTCATTCGCCATTCCTATATCATCACGTGCCAAATTCACCGTATCTGATGCCAAAAAGGCCACAGGTTACCCAATCACCAGTCCCATGTGTGCCTGACATTGATAACCTAAGAGACAACAGACACTCAACAAGTGGTCTCCTCCATAATGGTAAGAATAACAAATCCCTCAGAATGTTCTGTTTGCAAGTCTGTGTACTTACTTACAAATTTCCTATTCATTGTTTTTGGTTACTTGGTACAAATTTGTCCTGCATACAAGATATTTATCTTGTTTTCCCTTGCAGGAAGAGATACAAGTACAAGGCCACAATATTCAATTAACCATAGTCTTCTGTCACCTACACCCGTGGTTCCATCTATTTCAGCCCCACCAACACCACAACAAGCAACTCCCAGCACTGTTTCTGGAACTCCACAGAAAGGTACAGTGAACTTCACTCAACACTGCGAAAGATTGTTACAAACAATATTGTAATTTAGCTGGAATTTTTTCCCCAACAGCATGTTCTCTCACTGGGTTCTTCAAGGTCACAAGACATCTAATATTAGAAAATAGCCCAGATAAAACTCGCATGCTGATTGGTTTACAATCATTTTTCTACAACTCAATAGAAACACAGAGCTAGCATGAGCTGTTGACATAATGACAGTGCAAGGAAAGAGAATTTACATTTTGATGATCAAAGTAAAAAGTTTTCTTTTTATGTTGTCACGGAATATTCCTCCGTGTTTCTATTGAGTTATAGAAATGCTCGTGGAAATTTGGGAGAACTCAAAAAAGCTGTGGTAATACTTACCTGTCAGCTTGAGATCCTACAGCATTTCTTGTTCTCTCAACTTCCACTTGTGTTTCTATTAAACGATTACATTATGAGTTCGAGATTTCTATTGCTCGATAGTTGATGAGGGTACAGCCCGAGTCAACTATCACAAAATAGCAATCAAGTGCAAATAATCCTATTGTTTTGGTATAAATCTACTCTTCACAGACTCTTCAAAAATGCCAAGAAGTGGCTGTCATTTTGTTAATAAGGGCACACAGCTATGTTACTCGCTGTCTATCACAGAATAGATAGTGAGAAGCATAGCCAATCAGAGAATCGCATTCATCATAGAATGCTAGTAGATTTATACTTAAACTTGATAGAAACATGGTATGTTTTCTATTTCTTATTAAATGAAACTGTTTCCAAAGCTGTGACATTAGAGGATAACAGTGCACTGTTACCTGCAAATATTGACCCATGACTACCTCTAATGTCTTTGTTGTGCTACATAGCAAATCACTTAATGGCTGATTCCCAGGGAAACCAGTAAGTTTTGTTTCCCTCGAATCTAAATTTTGTAACATGGTTTGGATTACCCCATGCATTATTTTATAAAATTAATTTTGGGTGTGAGGATTGTCGTTGTAGCCTCGTAAACATATCTTCTTTGTACATATCTGGCATATCTTCTCTCTAAGTCCCCCAAAATGTCTGCCTAACCATTAAGCAGGGGGGGGGGGCTAAAATGGTTGCTGCTATATCTAGAGAATTTGGTTCCTTGTTCAGTTTGTTTGTTAAGGTCTTTAGAAGTTTAATTTAACAGACAGTTGCTATCATTAAGGAGAAGGGTAAGCTTGATTTCCACTGCTGATTTGAGTCTGGAGTACACTCCTGCCTTCATGGCAGGAGCGCAGGCTCCTTGCCCAAACAGCAGCTGGTAATTGAGCCTAGGAGAAAAGAGGGACATAACTGTTAGCCATGACAATGAAAGATTTAAACTTGTTGTTCTGCAGAACAAGTTGTGCCACATTTCTCACCTGTGCAGGCAAAAAATCCAATGAATAGGAAAGGGAGACGACTGAATACCTCACCAAGGCAGGAGACAGTACCAGAAATAAGCTTGTTTTCAGGAGATGAAATATTTGCATAAATTCAACACAATAAATTATTATGATTCCAAAATGGTTTACTTCACTGCAGTTTAAAAATCTATATTCTACTCAAATAGTAAAAAGAAATAATTTTCTGCCCTATTTGTTAAAAGGAAATACCAACAAGTGAAGAACCGAACAGAGTTAAGGGAAGATAGGTTGTAAAGCTCTTTTAGTTTTGCAAAACAAACATTATGTACACCTGCTATTAGAATGGTGAAATCTGGATTCCATCACAAAGCATAAGTTGCTTTTAGCAATACACCATTGGATAAAAAGCAGCTAAGACTCCAAAGTGCTCAAGGCAGCTTAGTGTACCTCTTATAAATTCAACTGGAATGATTGAAAAAATGAAAGCAAAATAAGGTTATTGAGAAAAAAATGACAACAACATTATTCTACAACACCACATAATTTATTCCAAACTAGTCTCACTACACACTCAATTTAACACCACAGCTGTAATATATTTTGCTTTACATATCTTTGCAAGTAATTAAGTGCAATATGAAGTATAAACTATTCTTTTCAGTCTCTCTGTCCAATAATAATTTAATTACCAGCTATAAATAATTCATTTTTATGACAAAGTGTGCAGCAATAAGTTATTCCATAATAATATTATTTAACAGTATGTAGCCAAATATTTAAATTGATAGATTGATTTTGCTGGTTTTCACTCAAAGTTTATGCAGCTGCTCCTACAGATTACCCTAGTAAATGCAAGGCTTCATTAGTGCAAAGTGAAACACAAAAGCACACAATGATAGAAGTCAGAGAAGCACCAAATTACTGAGAAAAAATAAATGCGTTCAAGGTCTCAACTCTAAGCAGTAATTTCATAGGCAGAATTCTAATTGGAGATCTTTTCAAGTGTCTGGAAAGTGATCTTCTTTGTAGAGTGCAATTCTAGCCGATTCTTCACCTCTTTCAGGAACAAAAAGAACGGCTATCCACAAAAGTTCTTTGATGATGTTGGCTACTTGGTTTTCTCTTTCTCCTCTTTTGCTTCTTGCACTCTCTCGTAGTTCTCTTTAGCCACTGCAATGCGCACCCATTTAGGTTTTTCACACACCAGGCATCTTGCAAATACAGCACACAGGATAAGGAAATGCTCGATACAAAACACAATGGCTACAACATACCTACAAAAATGACACAAAGTCCAAAAAAATTGATGAGAGCATTAAGGAAAGACATCATGAAGTTTAAAATTTCATGGTAGATTTCTTTGAATTCTGAATACAGAATACTAAAGTCTACAAGCAACACTGAAGTTGTGAAACATTTCGTGCTGCCACATTTATGTAGAAAGGAAATAATTAAAACTTGTTTTGAATTTGTTTTAGATTACTGGTGTTTTGTCTAGTACAAATTCAACACATGGATTTTGGTCAGCCAGCAATAATTGCTGAACCAGCCTTGAAAACAACATTCCTACAGTACTATTCATTAATAAAACCAATCATAACATATTAAATTTTAATCTTCTGATAAAAAAATCTAGTATGGCCTGGTTGTCCAAAACATGCTAAGCTAGTCAAGAATTGGAGTGATTAAAGTCATATAACTTTTCAGCGGAGACTTTGCAGAGAACATTTTCCTTTATAATTTGTTGTACTCCCGCTTTGATGTCTACTAATCTCAAAATCCAATGTTATTATCAAAAAAACTTTGATAAAAGAAAAAATTTAATCTCAATCACCTTACTCCTGTATTAATTGCTTAACTAGCTTTTGAAAAACAAAGCCCAGCTGCTCTCTTGCGTGCTTTGCGCTCCCTGCTGCACTTGAAAGAAATAATTTGTAGCAAAAAATTAACGTCTATGGACAGACTAAAATGTTATAATTTATGATACCTTCCATATCCAGAAATAATGAACTGATCATTGTCAATAGTCTCATACATCCAAGGACACCATACAGCAAGTTGTTCAGAAGAGAATCCAACAATTAAGCTGTTTGTGAGCATAGAGAGAACCATCATGGTATACAGAACATTGTACCATGCACCAATATTGGACATCCTGTGAGAAAACCCAAAATATTAGTAACGCCATTAACATTTTGAAGATCAAAAGTGGGTTTTTCTTTTCAAGTAGAGTAGCAATAGAAAAATTACCAACAGGAAATGAAATTAAGAAGAAAGTTTTGAGAAACCAAGGGATTCATTTAAGTAAAAACTATACTAAAGGAAGTCTCTAAGAGCATGATTGTCCTCCTGGCAACAGTACTTTACTTGTCATGAAAAGTTAACTCTTTCAAAGAGTATCAGCACATGGGCTAGGAGTTTTGAAGCAGTCACCAATAGAAAAACTGCCCAGATAAGGTTTCTCCAGAGATGAGTTTTCTCCAAGAATGGAAATGTTTTTCAAGGAAAAATCCATAAGCCCCACTTATCCAGTTTCACCACCCACCCCCTAGATTTTCTGTTCCATGGGGCTTCACAGTACTTCCCCTCACAATCTAGAATTTCTATGATTTTTCTTGCCCGCCCCCCCCCCTGAAAGATCCATACGTTTTGTATGCATAAACAACGAACACTATGTAGATTGATTAAATGTTAACTTTGATGGAATTTTAGCAGTCACTTAAAAGACATACCTCCTAACTCTTGGACGCTGATACACATAAAGTAGTTTAAATAAGTCAGCCCTTCCCTCAATGAACAAGAACACAATGCTCACAGCCGCAGCAAGTGGAAAAGCAGATGCAAACAGGGTCACATACTGATAACGAAGAGAATAAACAAGCATGAAATTAGAGCAGTCCATTTTGGTCAGAAAGATCTATCATACATGTTATGAGGCCAAAGAAAATAATGTAATAATTGCTATTTACAATGTAGTCAACATTGTCCAAAACCACAGAACAATTGACTTATATTAACCATTGTAATATAGATAGGACCCTGCGTGTGCTCTGACTGGTCGAAAACCCATGTTTTATCAGAGTATAAAACATAGAAAAAGCGTGTTTCATTTTTTTGCGTGTGTAAAATCTATATCATAATAAAAGCAAATGAAGAAGTCTAAACCATGTATTACACTGTGATAAAACACTCCGGGCATTTGCGAACACGAGGGAATGTAGAAAACACTTGTCCGTGGCTCGTGTTTTCTACATTTCCCTCATGTTCTCTACATTTCCCTCATGTTCTCAAATGCCCGCAGTGTTTTATCACAGTGTAATACACCCCTCAGGCTTCTTTATTTGTTAAAGACAAGTTTCAATTCTTTGTTTCAAAATAGTCTGAAACCTCAAAGTTGTGAGCACTACAATCATTCAACCATAATCTTCATTGGATTGAAAATGTTTTTATGATGCATATCAAAATAATGTTATGCAATTGCAGTCAATGAGCTATTTGGATGTTTGCCTGTTTCTCAACCACACCAGAAGTTGCAGAACAGTTTGTTTCTTAGTTTGCAGATGACAGTTACTGTAGTGTTTTTTAAATAGTGATGGTGTTATAAAGGTAATAATAAACTACCACAAGGGTGACTACCACATTGCACAGGAGGTAATTGTTTAAATCTTAGTCGAGTATTCGTTTGAAATGGATGCAGGATACTGTGGTATTCTAAATTAGAGAATCAATTCAAAGCAAATCTGTATACAATGTGAAACTTTGTTACTTATGAATGCTATCCTAATGCTATCCTTTTTAATGTGACATTTAGTGAAATAAACACTCACCCCAAACTGCACAACCATTTCCAAATAGTCATCAAACTGTTCATATTCCTCTAAAACAATATCCTGTTGAGCCTGCCATGGTATGGTGTACAAAATCAGACTTAAAACCTGATAACAGTTATTAATTTCTTTAATATTTTTGCTAGTACTTTTACGCTACTTCTACTTTGGCAAGTTTTTACAGTATGGAATAACAGATTAACATTCCTTACCTGAGAAGGAATGAAACCTTTTTCATCTGCATCTTTTTTACTCTTAGCATACTCTCTCTTTACTTTCCACACATGGCCTTTTTCCGTCAAATATGGAAGAAGTGATTCTGTTATGAGGCGGCGTATCTCATCACCTTGAGTCAAAAACAAATTGAATTAAATTAGCAATACCTATGTTTCTTGCATTCATATACGTGTCTGACGTGTACATGTCTGCATCCTTTGACCAGAGACAAGGGGAAAATGAGACTTGCCTGTTAGCAAAATCTGATTTTACTATATATATTATTTTTCTCTTTCACAATAGCCACTGATGGAAGATGACCACAGATTAAATCTTCAGTAGTTTATCATTCATTTTTCAAACTTTTTTAAGAACTGAGATTTGAATCTGAATCTGATTCATTGAAACAGGAAAAATGAATTTTGTTTTCTTCCATTTAGCGTTGATAACAGAAAAATAGTTGTAGACACTAACTTGGCACATAATGAACATCTCCCTCAAAACACTAACATATACATACCCCAAAACAGGCCAACCAGTTCTCTTTGCAGGGCGACAACATTAAGCTGATAAAACGCAATGTAGAACAGCGGTAAAAAGCAGTCAAAGATCTCGAAAAACACGCGTTTTATGATAAGCGAGTTGTCCCAGTCCCTCTCTGTCCTGTCAAAAAATGTCAATCTTGAGTTAAATACTGAAAAGATTGAAGTGTGTTTTAATGCTAGGGATTAGAGGAGCTAGATGCCTTCTTGGTGCCAGTGATTTTCTTTGGTTACTGCAGCATGAAGTGACTACAATTATTACACTCCTACAGGTACTGATATTGATCCCAGACATTTTGCATCTTTTAAATATTTATCAATGTAAACAAAATAATAATAACAATAAACTGAATGTGTAAATTAGAAAATGTGGAAAAACACAGTTCACAATAGCTAAGTTGATTCCTTGAGGTTTTGCACCAAGCGTGTTTGAAAAAGTGCCACTTTAACTGATTTCTGGGGTAATTAGTAATTAGTACACTAAGTCTTGGTCTCTAGTAATTGTTTCTAGGTAAGCCATGTCTGGGGTTAACAGTAAATGTCAAATAATTTTAATTAACAGTTTGATTCCCACTTTATTATGATAAACAATTTGATTTACACTTTTTATTTATTTTGATAAAAAGGTTTGGCAAAATTTTTACCTATGATTTTCCACGTCAGTACAAAAGTTTGCCACAGAACGGTACAATTTGTTCAATATATTGATGACCACTGAATGACCAATAGTAGGAATTAGATATCCATAGTACTGGTTGTCAGCTGCAAAAATGTGGCCCTGTAGAAATGACCAAAAAAAAGAATAGATTGAAAAACCTGAAATAATAATATTATGATTAAATCAGTGGAGATTGCAAAATGGCATTAATATACAGCATACATATAATACCTGGGGAAACTGTTATAAATGGCAATGCTGCGGTGGCCCAGTTTTTGCTCTGTACAAATTTTTGTTGACTAATTTAATTTATCCTGTTGTTTCTAAACCCAATATTAACTGATAAATGAAATTGTTATACCTCGCAACTCAAATACATTTTCCGATCGGAGGAGAACGTGTCACATGCCATGGGTCAAAACTCACTAACTCCCAAGGGCTAACAAAACTCACTAACTCCCTGGGGAAACAACAACTTGACCCTTCAACTCGCACGTGATCAGGTAGTGCACCTTATAACAACGGCAAATTTGTGTGCCAGTCGGCGGGCAACATTTCTCACTAGAGAAGGCATTCATTATTCCACAAAAACATATCAGATTACCAAAGGGGAAAATTTGAACAGTTTGTGTCTTCCAGCTTTTAATTTAGTGCCAAAAATGGGTTGCCCGTGTTCGGCAACTTGCTCTTCAATTGCTGTCGCCACTCGCCAGGTAGGAATATAGTTGTTTCATTTACAACAAAATATGCTGTTCCTCGTCAAATCAAACCCAGAATTCTCAAGTTAAGCACTAGAAGAAGGCAAAGCAACTTAAGCGTTCTCTTTATTTTTCTTAGCTGCAAAGAAAAAGACTGTTATTATGTCGTTTCAGTAGGGCAGCTCGGTTTGACTGCCGCTCGTACAATAACCACAGCCCCTGCAGGCGTCAAGCAAATCACTTTTTCATAGTCTTTCCTATTTTTGAGTCAGGAGGTATAACAAAACACTTAATGACTGGCCTCTCAGGAAATAGTGAGTTTTGTTTCCCCTTCACCCTCAATGTTCCCCTCGGCTTCACCTTGGGGAACATTTAGGTCTCAGGGAATCAAAACTCACTGTTTCCTGAGGGGCCAGTCATTAAGTGCTTATTATCTAATTAATATTCAGTTTTTGTATCCATTTTCAGCTGAGGATGAATGCAAGTAAGTCCATCATAAAATTTAAATTACCGGTTCTGCAAAGTAAGCAAAAGCTGCAATATAGACAGGGCTGTCTTTATCTTTGATGTAACCATTGAAGTTGAGTGAACACAGCATTGCACCAACAGCCAACATGAGCACAGGCAAAGTTAACAAAAAACTTAAGCCATAACGCAGCCATCTTTTCCATCTGGGAAAATACTTCTCTGGTTTTCCAGTGATAAGGCTAGGACGTATTTCACCAGAGAACTCAGGACGCAGCAGTTCTGAGTTTTCCAGACTGTGTGTTCGCCACAAGAATGAGTATTCTGATTCTTTTCTTTTCCATACCTATGGTAAACAATAAATAACATTTACTAACAGCAAGAGGGATGGGACCACCCTGGACTTTGAGAGGAGCATTCTCAGGTTAAAGCTCCCTGTTAGGGTCATACAGTGCCTGTCAGACTTCTAGCATTAGTACTGACAAAAAGGATACTTTCACACATTTAGCCAGGGCAAAAAAAAAAATCTATTTATTTAATTATATTTAATATAAGTGTCATGGTACTTTGCTCTAATGAGCAAATTGGGACACTAAATAATCAAGCATAAGTTGTAAATAGGACAGAAACTTATAAAACTTCCTAAACTGGTGGAGACTAGTCAGTTGGCCATTTACAAAGTGTGGAGGAGTTGAATTTGGGACTACTGAACACAAAAACATGTAGCTGGTAGGGAACTTGGGAACTCTGGATTATAAGCGCACCACCCTAGCCATTTGGCTGCGCTCCCTCCACGCAACCTTACAAAGTGCTTAGGGCTACCTGCTGTGGACTTACATCTTGGGAAAGTAACAATACTTGTAGTCACCACAAGCTACAGATACCATGGTCTCCTGCCACAAACTTGATGCATCTTTATACACAATGAAGAGGGCCTTACACTTACAAACTTACTGTACACAAGCCAGATACTGGCTACTGGCAATAATATCTAGTCCCCAATGTGGGATCACACTTACAGTAAGAAAGCTGATTGCCCAGAAAGCCATTAGAACCTCATACAAAGGTAACAGAGGGTTGTCGTCAACAGTGACACCTCGAGGCTTGAAAAAGTACAGCAGGATTCCTACAAATGCTATTGGTACTAATGTCCAGGTAAAACATGTCATCCAGCCAAAATAAAATGCAACACCTTCTCCTAAGGAAAAAACAATCAAACAGTCAGGTGACACTGTCATAAAAGTTTGAAGTTCATGTTGCAGCTACCATAGCTGTCACTAATAACAGTTATCTCAACAATGGCAACCATACTCAACAGTTTTCTGTTTTTTATGGCAACCTATCTGTCCCTAGAAGTTGCATGGAGAGTTCAAGGTTGTTTTTAGGCTTATTTTCAATTGAAGATAACAAAATGATCTTTTTTAATAAACTAGCACTATTTTATTTACCATAGTAATCCCTGATCTCCTGCAATGGACAAACAATCACATTTTGCTTCATTCTTTTCCATATTTTCTCTTGTTCCTGGGCTTGATGAAGAGGAAAAGCTGACTCTAGGATAGGTGGCTTAGAATGCATACAGTCTGTGATGAATGAGCCGTCTCCTCTGAATTTAACACCAAAGGACATTAAATGCTCCTAGTCACAAAGAAACAAGACAGTACTTTTGTTAATGCCAAACATGAAAATGGGTTCTCCTTGCTTCAAAAGGAAGGGGTGGGGGTGGGNCAGGCTTTAGAGTTAATATGGGTTGTCTTTTACTTAAGAACGGGGGAAGGAGAGGGGGAGGGGAAAGTTTTTCTAGTCCTTTGGCTTAACTGTTTTTAACAAAAAGGGGGAGGGATGCCTCTGAGCCCCTCCCATAGACCTGTAAAGGTTATAAAGTTAAAGCCACACCTACACAGAATTGACATGAAAGAAAACTTCTGCAAATACATTTTTATTTTGTGGCCAAAATATACAGCATGCACTTACTTTATTATACTGTACAGATTCCAGGCAAATCTCAAGTAAATGAGCCCTTTCAGCTGATGTAAAAAATGTGGCTTCATCTTCACTTCCAACATATTCATCAAGTCTACCAATGACAAATTCTCGGATCTAAGAAAACAATAAATGTGATGTCACAATTTCCATAAAATTGTACCTCTTCAGGCAGACAAAGCACATAAAAAGTGGCTGGAATGGTAATTAATTATATTGTATAAAACCTGCGTGTATTAATTAACCATCCAATATCCCTAAAACTGGAAAAATTAGACAAGACCTCAATTAGGATTGGTTGAGATATTGTTAAAGTGTCTTCACCAACATGGAAAGAAATGGACCCCATGTTGGCTATCAAAACGAATTGATGGTCATGACTTAGCTCAATAGAGAGAGTTGGCAGCAGCCTTGTCTTCTCTCATGGTCTGACAAGTATTAAACTGCAAATGTGAATGCAAAAGGGCAGTATGAACAAGAAGGGGTTAGGGTGAGACGAGAAACCAGCTAGACTCTTGTTCTTCTCATGAGTGCCATGTCAATGTGACACCTTTAAATCCCTTCTGGTTGAGACAACAGCAATATTTTTGAAATCCTTAAAAAACAAAACTCCTTTTTAACTTTCGGACATGTTTTGACCATACATCTGTCATTGTCAGTGTGCAAATGTTGCCTCCTGGCAGACATTTATTTGTAAAAAAATTGGCAAGTTCAGGGTCCCATTTTTTCATGTGTCTGTGATGGATTCTTTATGAAATTTGGCATTATAAATTAATCTATGGAGATGGTTTTTGGCTAAAATAAAAAGTATGAAAACTGTAGTGATTGAGTGACATTGGCATAAACACACCATAAGCCTCTGTAAGCCCCCTTCTCAAGTAAGCCTCCCCTTTTCAGAGCAAGGCATTTTTTGAATCTCTCCTCTGTTTTATTGCCCCACCCCTCTCCTTTTACCAAAGCAGTTAAGGGACCGTTCATTTTTTATGAGGGAGGGGGGGCTGGTGGGATTTGGGAAGCACCATTTAAAAATCGCATGACCCCCCCTCAGCTTACCAAT